GTCAGAGTAGAGCCCCACACTGAGGAGAAAATTGCTCAGAATAGAAAATGGAAAAAGGAAAGAGAAAGTCAGCTCAAAGTGGGGTAACAGAGTTGGGAGATCTCAGAAAGGGAGCCCCCATATTTTTGAACACTACCCCAGAAACCAGAAGAGAAAATTCTACAGCCATTAAGAGCTATTCTGAATCCTACTTCCTTCTAAAATTCTAGGAGAACTAATTTCATGTAAAACTGAGTAACAGAGAGGAAGAAAGTAAAATTCCAACAGAAAAGAAACAAGGTTAAATTCCATATAAATTTTTGAAGAGGATAAGCAGAAAGAAAAATAATGTCTTGAGAGACAAAGAAAGCATGTCAGTCAGGCATGCCCACAAATCAGGAGAAACTAAAATATTTCAAAGGGAACTAAGTTATTAAGAAATTATACAAGTACAAATAAATAACAATAGATATTGTCTTAAATGAAATAGAAAGCAAAAAGGAAGCAACTTCTGAAAAGTGAAAATAAAGTAAGATAAAGGATTCCAGAGAAGTTGACACATTTAGAAGTTAGATAAAGAAGATCCAATATATGTATACTAGGAATCCCATAAGAAAACATCAAAGCAAGAGAATAGAGCAAAAATTAAAACTTAAATTCAATATGACTTTCCTGGCATAGCCTGCTTGTGAAAATTGATCAGAAAATGACCAGGACCAAGACATATTCTAACAAAATTACTAGATTCTAAAGAAAAAGAAAAAATAATCTTTTGGGCATCTGAGCAAAAGATCAATTCACTTGTAAGGAAAAAGAAATTGGATTGTTATCAGGCTTGTCCATAACACTTTACAAAAGAACATGGAGTAAGACGTTGAAGATATTAGAAGGGGAAAAAAATGTGATCCTAAGACTTAATATCCAACCAACCTCATTTTTAAGAATAAAGGTCCCAAATAAACTGTCACCAATATGCAAGAACTCAGTGAATATTTTTCCTATGATCTTCTGAGGAATTTACTAGAGAACAAGCTTCAACAACCAAAATTACTGGAGAGAAATCACCATAAGGATTGGTGGTGAGCACTGATTGTGTGTGTGTGTAGAATTAACATAATATGAAAATTAAGAGAAAAAAAGCATAGTATGAAATGGCCATATCTTTCAACAATGTAGATACAGTATTATTATTAGAAAGATTTAGCAGGAGAATGGATGAAGCATATGAAAATATATTTGAAGTTTTCGTAATCATATTCATGGTGATAGTATTGGTATATTATTCTAAAATCATCATAGGTATAATATGAGATAAAGCAAATGAGCTGTTATGGAATATTGTAATTCTATCACACTTGCGTTTTTCAGAACCACTGTGGAAGAAAGGAGATACAGATGTAGAATAGAAAATATTAAGTAAAAGTCTTATAGTTCTGAAATACCGACCCTCTTAACAAATTTCAAGTATACAATATAGTATTGTTAACTGTATTCAGCATGCTGTACATTCAATCTCAGAACTCATTCGTCTTTCAAAACTGAAACTTTGTACCCATTTTGGATAGGTTAAGACATAAAGGTTGAACAGTCCAATGGTACGGAGCTCAGCACAGCAGAGGGATTTGAGAAATGTTTGTTGAAATCACTCACAGTTATATGAGGGGATGTTGTGTGCCAAAGCCACGTAGGAGTGGGAGTGATTGAGGAATGTCTTGCTTCCTCATACAAGTCTGATAAATCCCCCACCAGGCTTGAATCCAACTTCCTGCCTATTCTGCACTTACAGCTAAGTGTTGGTGGAGAAAAACAGACAATCCACTGACTACTTTCCTTTAAGTTCATAATCTCTAACCTCAAGTCGGTTGTTGGTACTGTCGAGCAATAATACTAAGTCCCCTCATCCATTCGCTCTCCTTTTATCATTCATACCTTTATTTCTCTTCTCAAATTTCCAATGCCTCCTTTGTCTGTCCGCCCTGGGCTCAAACATGCTGCCTTCTTTCCTTTTACTAAGGATGGCTACCTTCCCTTCTGTCTAAGGCCAACCCGTCTACTCATCCTTTAGATCCTGTTCCCTCCACCTACTCTAAGACACAGCTCTTTTTCTATCTTAAATCATCAATTTGCCTTCTTTTCGAACTCATTCCTTTCGGCGTACCAAAATATTATTTCTCCATTTTCAAAATATCCTTTACAGTCCAACAGCCCCATCCAGCTGCTGTCCCATGTCTTTGCTTCCCTTTTCAGCCAACCTCCTAGAAAAAAGTGTCCTTTCTCACCTCTTAGAATTCCTCCCCTCCAATTCTCCTTTACTCCACTCCAATAAGGCCTTGGCTCCATGACTCCACTGAAATAGCTCTTGTCCATAACATAATGGCATCTACATTTATAACTTCAACCAATTTTCAGTAACTGGCTTACCTGCAGCCCTTGACACAGTTTATCATGACAGCTTCCTTGAAATATTTTGTTCCCTTGGCTTCCAGGACACCCACATCCTTCTCATTTCCCACCTGTCTCATAGGCTGCCATTTCTTAGTCTTCTTTGCTAACTCATTCTCATATTCCCTAAACAGATTGAATAATCTCATCCAATGTCATTTCTATTGAGATAACATGGAGTGATATTGTCAAATCAGACTTACAAGAATCATAGATATGACCCAGTGTCAAGCTTTACTAATAACTTCAAGGATGTGGGTAAACATCAAAGAAACAGAGAAGTCCAATTCATTTGACATGGCTCCCAGGTCCTGTCTTAGCATATTAGGATGTACTCTAGGCAAAATAAATGAGTCTCTGAGAAGTTCATGGAATGACCACTAACATGAAATCTCTCAGTTGTGTAAACTGTTTCGTCATTTATCATTTGATGAAATGTCTTCATTTTATCCCTTGATAACTGCATGGTTAATGACATTTTACAGAGAGCCTTGACCCATAAATTCATAGATTCTAGTTTGTTTACCATAAGCAATCTTAAACCAACTATTTCCTGTTAAATGCATTCTATAAATAAGAACTCTTTTCTAGCAAATGTCATTGTATGTATGTACCATTAGCATGTTTATAAGAGGATTTGACCATGTCATCTTTCTTTCCTGGGGCCAGAAAAATGAGAAAACGGATGGTAGGCCTGATGCTAACCCTTTCTTTTCAGCTCTCCATGCACCTAGACCTCAAAATTTGTATCTACCACTCATGTTTTTCTCCTAAACTGCAAGCTCACATATTCACTTAGCTAGTTAACATTTTGACTCAGCGGTGTAATAGGTTATCAAACTGCATATGAGCAAATAAAAATAATGATTCCTTTTCTCAACTCCCTAAATACACACACACAACCCTTTCTTCTTCCAAGTCTTCCTGTCTCAGTAATATTCTTTCTCTCTCTCTGTCCTGTCTTCTCAGGGAAAACCTTTACACTCGTGCTTGATTCCTTTTTCTCTCACACCGTGTGTCCAATCTGCCCCCAAATTTTGCCGCTTCTACCTTCAAAATATATCCAGAATTCTATCACTGCTCCCCATTTCCACCCCTGCCTCCCTAGTTCAAGCTACCACCATCTCTCACCTGGCTTGCTGAAATAATGTCTTACCTGCTTCTCTGCTTCCTGCTTCCTGCTTCCCAGCTTGCCCCCAAGAGTCTATTCTGAGCATCTCAGCCAGATGGCTGTCTTTAAAAGATTAGTCGAATTATGTAGCTCCAAGATCAAAACTCTCCAGTGGTTCCCAATCTCTCAGATAACAGCCAGAGTTCTTATAATGGCCTTCAGGGGCCTATCCATCCTCGATCCCCATTAACTCTCTGACTTCATCTTCCATTGTTTTCCCTCCTGTTCACTTAATTCAGCGGCACTGGCCTCTTTGCTGTACCTCGGACAAACCAAGCACATTGTGGCTTCTGGATCTTTAGAATGCTGTATTTTAGGCCTGGAAATCTTCCCCCAGGTAGCCACATGGCTCTCTTTTCTAATCTCCCTCAGATGTTTCCTTCTACGTACCTTCTTTATAAGGCATTCCCTATTCCCTAGTCACCTCTTCAAAACTGTAATCCCCATCTTCCCTGCTGTCTGTCTCTTCTCTATTTTTTTATTCTCCTTCCCACTGAAATACGATACAGTTCAATCTTGCAGTATTTCTTGTTGGTCTCGTGGACGAGAGCAGAGGTGTCTGTCTTGTTCACAGCTGTATCCTCAGCACCCACAGTAATGTCTGGCACACAGAAGGCTCTCAATAAATGTTACATAAATTAGTTAATAGTTGATCAAATCTATTTGACTTGTTCTGAGTTGGAAGAGAACATGATCAAATAATGCAAGGAGAAGAGTAACTTGGGCTGCAACAAGGAAGACCTTGAAATTGTATGATGGAGTTTCGGTTTTGTTCTGCAGGTTGCGGAAACCAGGAAGGGGAATTGAGCCGAGCAGTAGCCCAAAGAAACAAAGTCAGGGAGAAAGGAATTCAGGCTTTAAGAATAAGCACAAAAGGAAAATTTGACTCTTTAACATTAGTCTCTTCTTCATCAAGCTGAATATGTTCCCTGATATTGTGTGGGCTGCTAGCAACTACCACGGGGTGGAATGTTGGGGCCTATTTTCAAAGTGGTTGTAAAAACCCAGAGAGTCCTGAATAGAGGCATGAAAATAGTCTACTTGATGAGATTGATAATGGTGCATTATAAGTGCCCATAAACTCAATAATGGATACGTTCCTTAAGATTTCTATGAAATAAGACTGTTAAATACAGTTGGTGGAAGTAGTATTAAAAACCAAACTTCAGAAAATCTATCTTCTAAGGACAATTTCTAGAAATACAAAGAATAAATGCCTCACCTGTTTGGCCAGTTGGAATTGGGAGACTTTCTCCATGTTGGACCATTCCTTATCCACAGCTCCCCGCCATTTTTTACTGAAACAGATTAAGAAAGAAATCCCACACACCATCATCTATCAACATTTTGGCTAAAACAGTACATCTTAGTATCATTAGTTTTAAAAACTCATGTCGTTTTTTCACAGTACAACCGGTACCAGCAATATGGCGCCGAAGAGTGTGTGCTGCAGATGGGGGGCATGCTGTGCCCCAGCCCTGGCTGCGGAGCAGGCCTGCTTCCTGAGCCAAGCAGGAGGAAAGTCACTTGCGAAGGGGGCAACAGTCTGGGCTGCGGGGTGAGTACCAGCCACACCCCTGGGTGTTGCCTTTGTGTGTGTCTGTTTACTTTGGCAAATTGGCTAGGATTCTATACTTGTTTTATTTTCATTTTTCCTTTGGACTCAGACATCTTTGAACTGATGTGGAAGAAAGTAGATTTAAAAATTCTTATATAAGATCTCAGATATGAAAACGTATATTTTGGAGGGAAGGGAAGAGTCATATTAGGATTTTCTGCTTTAATTGTTTATCACTGTGTTTACTCTAAGATGTAAATCACTAGCCCAGGCTTTTAAACTTTTCTCCCAGTACTGAGCTGATTCAAGGCAACAATTTATTATTTCTTCAGAGTTGGCTTTAAATAGAGAGGAGTGAAAGAGAAAGAGAATTCCGTGTCAGTGATATCTTAGCGATGTTGTTTGCCTATTTCAAGAAATAAAATGAAGATTCATATGGAGAACTTGAAATGATATTCTGTCATAAAAATCATTTTAAATAGAGATGAGCAGAACTAATGGTACCTCCTGGGGAAGCAGAGTAAGCAACATGGAAAAGGTTTGTTCTAAGAGGTCAACGCATATGACCTAGATGCCTTCTCGAATGAACCCATGGCTGCAAGCTGATGGTGAAGGGGTGAGTGAAGTGTAACTCAAACACAAAAAGCCTAACTAAATTATAGGTTGAAATGACAAATGGATAGTAATCCTGATATTAAATTTCATGCAGGCTAGAAAAGGAAGAAAGTGTATGTGCTTATAAAATGCTATTGAATTTTAATGGGAAGACATTTCTTTTAAAATTGCAACTCCATGAGGAATTTTGTGGAAGAAGGAGTCTTGATAGCAGAGGCATATTGCCCAGACCTAATTTTCGGCTGAGCTCTGTGAGTCACCTATGCATAAGTTGGCATCTGTTGTGCTTCGTGAAGCTTCCTATCTGACATGCAGTGGGGCTCACAAAGCCCTGGGCTGAGTGATAAAGTAGAAGAAGGGGAAGTTGAAAAATAATGGGATACCGTGATGCCTAAGTGGAAAGCTATACCTCTGAATTAATCATGGTGATTGCATTCAAATGAAAACTCAAGTGATGTTTGCTAGCCTTAGAAATCAGGGAAATCAAACTACAGTTCCAGCCTTAGTCATCATCATTTACTGTATAATCTGCACCCACTGATCGTGCGTAGCCTAAACAAGCTGCCAGATTCCAGGATCAGAATGCTGGTGAATGTTTTCCTTTAAAATGATTTACAATTGTTTTTAACTAATGGCTAAATTGTATGCTTCTGCCTGCTAAGTGACTACTGTTGTTCCAGTCTCTAAAGCTAGTTTAAGATCTTAACTTTCTTTATGAGATGAGGATTTCTTTGGCCCATCTTCTGCATTCAGTTTTTCACCTTGCTTTAAGAACTTTGAAGGTTTTTTATAATTTTAAGGTTTGAATGCCTTTATCTTCCCTTTTTTGCGCAATGTGGCATTATAAATAAGTAAATAAGCTCCAAATCATGGAAAGTTACCTTGGAAATGAACTGAATTGCTTCAATATCTTTGAGTTAAGAGAATTTGGGGCAAACCTTACCTAAAGGAAGATTGCTATCTTTAGGATATTTCTTTGTCCTTTGGAAATTCTAGGTAATGCATTTTGTTTTACTTTGATTTGTTCTGTTTTGTTGTTTGAGGAGGTGTGTTCTCTGGTTTGTATATTAGTTATCTATTGCTGCGTAACAAATAACCCCAAATTTTAACCATTTAATTAATAAACATTTATTATCTCACAGGGTTTCTGAGGGTTAGGAATCCATGAGTGGCTTAGCTGGGTGGTTCTGGCTCAGGCTGTCTTATGAGGTTGTAGTCAAGCTGGATGCAGTTATCTGAAAGCTTGACTGGGGCTGGAAGTTCCACTTTCAAGATAACACCTTCACATGACTGTTGGCCAAAAAGGCATCAGCTCCAGGGGCCGGGCTCGTCCGTTCCCCCGGCGTCCGTGGACGCCGCTCCGTGTCCCCGCTGGGCACAGCAGCCCGGGCCCTCCGCGGCCACGGCCGCTAGCCTGAGGAGGCCGTCCTTCAGCTCCCGCTCTTCCTGCTCGCCGGACACGGACGACCAGGGCGCCCGCGAAGATGATGCCATCTGAGAGGGATGATTCGTAAAAACTCTGAATGATTCTTCCAAGATGGCGCCGTGAGTAGTCCTCTTTGTCTCTCGCCCTTCGAGTCTACAATTATTTGGACACTTATCGCTTGACAAAGGATATCCAGACAGCATCTCAGGACGTCTGAGACACCCACGCGACTATACATCGGAAGGCGGACGGACTTTCCTCCGGGAGGATGTGGAAATAGGTGAAAACTCTCCGACCCCGACGGGCAGCCTAGTACCCGCAAGCGGCTTTCTTCCAACGGACGCCCCCAGAGGATCCACACACATCTAGGGCAGGAGCGAGAACACAACAGAGGAGCGACGGTGGAAACAGGTGACCAGAACCCTACTTAAACCCCCCGCAATTACTCCTAAACGCAGAGGGAAACTTT